TTTTTTTTTTTTTTTTTGTTACTGTAACAGAGAATCTGTTTCGCGAACAGAGAAAGTTCACCGCCGGTTCATTATGTATTGTAGTCATTTTTTCCATCAATCTATTTATTCGTCGAGCAGCCCTCAATTTAGGGCACTTAATCTATTTCAATTAATTCATTATTTGTATTTATTTGGAAGATTGGGAACAGAGTTAAAGAAATGTATATATATATATGTACTGAAACCTCATTACTTCAACGAAACAGTTGTTTCAGCGTTTCCGACTGTGACAAGTTGTCACCTTTTGCTGCAGATTCTTCGTGAAGCAAACCTTGTTTGGTTCCGTAATTGTACCAGTTTTTCGTTCTCAGTACTGTTCTGGCGCAGAAGACTACCATCGACTTGATCATTTTTCATTTTTTCACTCTACTGATTCAAAAGAGTCAGAATAGCACAGTGCTTCAAACACCCTTTTTCCACTGCCAAAGGCGTCCAGATTTACTGGAATAAAGAAGTGGACCAAAATAAGTGTACTTAAGTGTCATGGCTTATTTCTTCCACTATTCAACGTTAATGTATTTTATCTGTTTCTCATCTTTCAAAGCTTTTTGCAACATATACGTGAATCAGTGCTTCTGCAATAAACGTTGTTTGTGATGCTTTTTTTAATTCATTAATGAATTATGCCCTATAAAATTCACCAGCGTAGAAGAATGCGTGTACTGACATTCGACAGGTGACTTTGAAGTGCAGCTGATTTGAAAGTTAGTCATTTTAGCGAAGATTTTTAGTATGTCTGATATGAAAAAGAGTTTTTTAACCCAAAAACATTGTCTAACTTAGATAATCGTCCGCGAAAAATGAGTTAAGCGAATTCACCAAAGAAAAACGAGCCAAGAAAAGGACAAATTTTCAAAACTGATATAAAGAAAAAAATTACTTTTTTTCTGCAATATTACGAACATTATTTTTGGGGTGGCGGAAGGGTTGAAAAGTAGAGCCAAAATAAGACTAACAATTTACCCTATTTGCTGCTTTAACGCTTAAAAAAACTTTTTTAAAAAAACGAAAAATATGATGTACTCAGCATTTTCATTTCATTGAGCATTCAAGTAAAAAACTAGAAATTATGATGTACAGGAAAAAAAATAAACAGTTTTTTGCACAGAACATGGTTTTTTTTTCCTTGATTTTGTATTCTATAAAAGAGTAGAAGCAAAAGCTAGCAATTTTAAGAAGGAAATGAAAGTTTTTTTCTTTTGAACGTTGTTTGCAAATTTGTAACTGATACTTTCTTAACAAACATTTGGGAATCGTTAAAAATTTGTACTTTTACCACTCTTATTTTGCTGTTCTCTCAGTGTTTAAGCAAATAGGCATCTGAGAAAATCCTTTTTATAAAAATTTTCAAGAATAAATGATTGTCGTCTTCTTCAAGCACTATAAAGAGATTAGGCCTACCGTATTCTTATACAAATATTACTTCTGTATGTGCTTTTGGTTCTTTAACATAGTATATTCTTCAATTTCTTCTGCATTTTTTTCAGTTATCAATCAACTTTAGCTATCTGTAATATGTGTTATTTGTTAATAGATTCGATCTACCTCTATTTTTCATGTTATTATTGGTTTTTAAGCACGTGAACAAATTTTTTGAAGCGCTAAATGCTTGGTCTTATGAACAACGTCGCACTTGACGGTGGAACAGCAGATTTATATGCAGCCCCAAAACGGCAAGACGAAAGCCCAGTGTTTGAACAAGTCAACAAAAAACCAAAAGTCACATATCTTAAAGGTAATGGTGACAAATTTTTAGGAAGAGACAAAACGCCTGGGGACTAATTGTTTGGTTACAAACTACAAACTAGTTTTATTTCTTAGTGCAGCTCTTTGAAAATGCGACATAAACGATATTCTTTTCGCTACGTCGTATGTCTATCTCTTCTGCTGTTCTTACAGATGGGCGTAAAATCGTTGATGGAAAAGTCCAAGAAATTCAGAAGTCTGATTGCTTATGGAATTCACTGCTGAAGAGATCTGTCGCAAATCAGCTTCAAAAGAATGTCAAAATTGCAGAAGGAAAAATGAAATGAATTTTAATGCAGTTCATTTGCGAAAAAGTATGTTCACTGGACATCATTGTTGATGTGAAATGATAAATGATTACAGTACTGAAACAGATTGTAATTACTGCATTTAGAAGATAAAAGATGTGATTCTATCATAGACCGTAGAATACAATATTTTACCGTACTGAAGGTGCAATAATAATAAAAAATTTCTGTCTTAGTAAAATTTGGAATTCTGCAGCAACTATGGACACAAGAAGGAAGGTCAGCATTTAACACTAACCCAAATATAACCAGTTTTATGGACTATTGTTTTTTTGGCTTCTGAAATTAAAAAGGGATTTTATTGGCGGTATTTCTAACGTCTGTTACCTGTTCTTACAACTTTTTATGATTTCACAAGCCTAAGAAAACTAAATTTCCGGATTTTTTTTTCTTCACTACTTAAAATCGGTGTTTTCTCGTTTTCTATATCATACACTTTTCGCTTCTTTGTTACACGCTTTCTACTTGTAAGGCACTCGTGAGCGGAAGTTTTCTTTCCTTTCTCTTAAAATAAAGTGAAAAAGGTTTTTTTAAGATATAAGTTCAAATCTACACTACAAGAGCTAAGACTAATTACCATTAAGTAAGGGAGATAGATTAGTAATCGAAAATTCCAATAAGCGTTTTTTTATCTAACTTTCATCAGTGGTTCCTTTTCACATTGCGACGTAAAGGAAAAGTCGCCTGTACTGTTCACAGAACACTTTTGTAAATGTAATATAGCTTTTGAAATAGACTGTGCACTTGTTTCCCTCATTGATAGTACAAAACGGTGTCAAAGTTTGACAAATACATTATGGAAGAGTTTGGCAAAAAGTAACACTTAGCCCTGAAGCTCCTGGCCGACAATTAGTCTGCAGGTGGAAATGAAACGGTGTACCAGAATCTGAAACACTACTGCAGTCTCAGAGAAACTCGTTCAACGAAAATAACTTTTTTTGACCTGAAAGAGAATTCCGTAGGAATAGAAAATTTTGTTTCGACATCTAAAACCGCAGAAGGATGCTTCTCATTACTGTAAAACTTCTGCTGTTTGATTCCTGTCATAATGCAGAAGAAAAATTCCCAATTTTTCTGAACCTGAGCCTCTTTCTTAATTTCTTATCGTTGTAGTCGAATGCGACTCTAACAACGAAATTGATGCTGACATTCTGGCAAAAATGTGTTTGCGAAAAAAGTGGTATTGTAGAAGTGACCAGTAAAAGACTTCATTTATCTGATTAATTTCGCAATTGTCATCTCGACCTCCTCTCCTCTAAAAAAGCGGGAAACTAAAAGGAGAAAAAAATCAACAGAGTTTATGATGAACTTTTTTGGAACTAAAAATGTTATTATGAGCAAATTTGTAAATTTTGATTTACTATCATAAACCTTGCTTCTCTTCACAATAGCCTTCCAAAATATACTTTTCCAAGAATCACGTCAGAAGTACTTGCAGCATAATGGGACAAAAATTTGAACTTTTTACTCCTAATTCGCAAAAATCGTTCTTAAGCAAGGCGTTCAAAAGTTTTTTATATCGTTAAAACTTATTTCATCCACATTTCAATTGCAGTTTTATTTAACACGAAAGAGAGTCTGCCAGTTTCTAGTACTCTCAAATTCTCTGCAGAGGCACTGAAAGAGAACAGCGTCCAATTTTTAAAGAGAAGAGTGGCAGTTTCACTCCAACAACTATGCGTGATTAACGCACAGCTATTTATTTTAACTGTATAAGAACAGCTAACGGAATGAGCGGTCAGAAAGCCAGAACTCGAAGAAAGTGAAGTAACTAGAAAAATTGTGTGTATTTGGGCAACAGATGGTGTAACTGGAGAAAAAGTGTGAAGCAAAACATTCTTCTCACTTTGTTAAATTACAACTTAAGCTCATTGTTTTCCAGTCTTTAATCGTTTTTTGAGTGTAATATTTTCGTTTGAAATCTTTTGTTTTATCTGCTTCAAAAGTAATTGCGTCGCTAATACATAGAAAATATTTGCTGTAGATACCTATTTGGGAAATTTTCTGCAAATTCTGCAAATCACCAAATGTTTTGCTAAGAGGCGAGTAATTGTTCACCGGTTTCACTTCAAAAAAAAAAAAAAAAAAAGCCGCCAGTGAGCAATCAAACTTTTTTTAATTTAAAAAAAAGTATCAGTTTTAAAAGTATCTTTAAAAAATAATAATATACTTTCAAAAAAAGATCAAGATTTCTTTTTTTTTTATTATTCTATTTATTATTTGTACTTTCCTTTTTTTGTTTCTGTAACGTTGAATTTTATTTTGTTATTTTTTTTTCCATATTTAACTTCCAGTTAATTGTTGAATCGTTTTACCATTTCTGGCAGTAATTTTACTGGAACTGTTAAATTTTGAGGTTTCTTGCTTCAAATGCAATTTTACGACCATTATTATTTGATGGCATTTTGTGTCAATTTGGACGATTATTTTCTTTCGGTTTTCTCTGGAATAACTTAGATTTCTTAAATGACATTCTCCAAAAAATGGTTAATCCACTGTTGTTCGGCATAACATTTTTTTGCAGATTATTGATCGAAAAAAAGGTTTATTAAAAAACTCTTCAGTCAGCTGTTTATTGTATCAGCATTTACCAATTTTTATGCCAAAGAATGGGAATAACGCGAATATTATATTTAGAAATTCTGGAGGGAAACAAGTGGAAAAAAGTTTTAAGAGTAGAAGATAAAATTAAAGCGATCTGTGAAGAAGAAGAGAAATAGTAATTTTTTACGGTAAACGAATTTCTCTCTGAGTCTTTAGGCAGAGGAAGTTGGAAAATAGAAGGCTTTTTTAAATTAATTTTTATGATTTGTCTAGCTGCGTATAGTCTTCATTTCTACCGAGAACATAATAACTTGTGGGAACCCCAAAAGCTTGTGAAATGTGCGTTTAATAGTCGGTAAGCTTGAAAATTGTAAATTTGCTATAATTTTTACGTTTCTTTATTACCATTGTTTACTGCGAAGATAGACTCTTTTCAGACTGGATTGCAATTTTATGCAGGTGAACAAATGAAGGAGAGGATAAAAAGAGTGATTTTAATAAATCCAACATATGACCGACCCAGATCGACAAGAAGTATAAAGTAGAAGTTAATTTCTCGTTATCTCACGTCACACAGAATGACGGTGGTTTTATGTAACTGTTAGGTGAAACATTATAAGTGCCAACATTCGTGGGATACGCTGTAGAGGGAACTGCAGAACCAGTCGAGTACTGTCTCATGTATAGCCATGGGTTGTAACTGTAGAATAGGTATGGAGAATTTACTTCGTTATAATAGTTTTGATAACTGTAAGGGTCTTGTGACTGCCCCATTAGTAAACCGACCACGTCCATTTGTCCGCCAATATCAAAATCACCATTTCTGCTCTAAAATTTTTTCGACGACCTTAACATTATGCGTGATATCGGAATACACAACGTCAATCCAAAGAACTTTTTCAACAAATATAAAC